ATTTTCCCAAATTTCCTGAAGTTTTTGCCTTCGGGAATAGTGCAGACTGGAGAAGTTCGGAGTGCTTTTTTAATTTGTTGCCCTAAAGTCTCAATGACTTATATAGGTATAAATATAGATAGATCCTACACACAATTAATTATTTTTAGTAAGTTTTGACTTATTTAAGAAGTAAAAGGTTTAAAACCATTTAGAAAATTTCTATTTATTTTTATAATTAGACATTAATTCAAAATTCAATCCCAATAATATTTTGTGATGTGATAAACCCTCCATTTAAAAAATAGAGCAAAGAGAAATTAACGCAAATAGTTAAATTTGTCTCAGATTAAAAACTATGGTTACTGAGACACCCGGTAAAACGCGTAGACTAAACAAATTCATTCCTGGCGGGGATGAAACTCAACACCTATCAAAACCAGTTTTTATGTTTTTAATATCACAAGAGCCTGGCGAGATAGTAAAAAACTGAAATCACGCTTCCAATATTGCCAATGTTAATGATCTCCAAGATAACCTATACATCGAATTTGCAAAAGTAAAAACGTAAAAAAATACATTACATTAAATATTTCATTATACCTCCCCCGGTAAAAAATATGCTCTAACTCTGAGGGTGTGGTGTTAGCTCTGGAAGTTGGGTGCTTGATAAGTGCCATAGGGTATTAAAAGATTAAAGCTATTCGATTACCCAAAAATCTACTACAATCTTGGACATTTGGGCAAAAATCCCAAAATGTACGAAATCTCTGCACAGTACTTTTATTTATTTATTTTTTTAAAGACGTTTTCCCGGTTTTATGTTGTGTGCCTAGTGACTAAAAGTGTTGAAAACAATTTTTATAAGTTTATAAGCAATTACTTTCCTTACAATACTTTTCAATATGCTCTGGTAAATTTTAAATAACTTTTATTTAGAAACTTTTGCCACTATTTGTATCTTAATGAAATCTTAAATTTATTTTACTTGATATGCTTAAATAGCCACATTTTATTGTTTAGTAATTTAAAAAAAACTTTTAACTTTAAGGCAAACAAAATTATTGAATTATTTTAAATGCAAATTTATGGTTGCTTTTATGTTATTACCACTATGGTATAAAAAAGTTTTATTACACAGTCGGGATAACACATGTTATTTTATGGTGCCTAATGGACAACTTGGCGAAGAATATTTTCTCATCGCAATAACACGAAAGATATATTTCGCAATCTTCTCAACTTCAGATAAGCTTAATATATATTCGAACAAAGTTTTAACCATTCTACAATGAATCCTTAATTATGAAATAAAATAATTAAGAAATAAAATAAAAAACGATACAAGTAAAGGTGATGATGGCGACGATTAGTAATATTAATATTAAGAACTTTTAATGTATACCGGGTGCGCCAACGACGAATTAATTTTTGGCCGCTACCTATTCCACCGGTTTTGTTATCAAAAGCCAGACTGTGTATTCATCAAAGCACCAATTAAGATGGGATATAATTTTTTTTTTATTTGCATTAGTTCGAAATAAAACTTGAAGCTACACTTTTTTTTACATATAACAACTATTGAAGATAGGTATAGGACATATCTAGCAATAATATTGGAGCCACATAAATATTTTTTGTTTGAAAAATAGAGAATTTGTACTATAATAATAAACATGGATGGCGAACATTCTTGACCAAGCACAGATATTATTTATGTCACTTCGTAAATCGCTGATGAAATCTCAGTTTATCAACGCCATCAAAATGCTAATTTTGACCGTTAAATTGGAATAATTCAAAAAGTAACAAATTTAGGCTCTCGTATTATGATTCAGTCAGCGATAAATGAAATATGCTTATGGTAAACGTTGAAATTTAGATATTAAGCTACGAATTTTTCTAGTTACTTCATTAGCGCCTAGATGTTATTTTAAATGGCGATCCAGAGTTATGCGTAAACACTTAATGGATTCAGCTTTGAGTATTGTTATATTTTTATTAATATTTTTATTTAATGTTTGGTAGCCAAGTCTGGTAGCTCTGATGCCCATAAAGTAAAACAAAAGTATTTTGTTTTTGGAACTTTCATTTATTTTGTTGAAACCAATTAACTAGTTTTGATTAGTTTAATTAAATAGTTTTTCAAAATCTCTTCCAATCTGAGTCTTTAAGGTTAACAAAGAAGCAGCAGTATAAAATATTGCAGTATCATCTGCGTAACTGACTATTTTTCTAATTTCAACAACAGACAGATATCGTTACAGCCCAAAATGTAAAATTAACAGCTACAGCGAACCGGACAACGCTTGGAGTGAGAATGGGAGGGAATTAAGGACAAGGAAGTATCAAAGCAAATGTATAATTAGGTAGAAAAGAAAATAAAATCTTGGGAGCCTTTTGCTTTCCCAAAAGGTAATTTTTAAATTTATTTTTCAAGGCTTCAGAAAAATGTCTAGGGAGATATATTGATATATTGATATATCATATTTACAATTTGGTATGAGAAGGACCTATTCAAATGTTTTTTTTATGCTATGGCGCAGTAAGAAAACCCCGTGTGCGGAGATTCGAATTATGGATCCGTCCGAAATCTAATTTTGTTGTACATCGTGAAGTTTATATCAATCGAATGTATTCAACCAGCCTAACCTAAATAGATATGATGAAATATGAGTTATTCGTCGAATTCCATATACTAGTCTAAGGTAGCAGGTGTGATTTTTTTGAATACGATACTTCTCTATATCGAGAAAAGGTATGAATACGTTAGTATCCAGTGAGCCACAACGACGACTTCTGTACATTAATTTTAGATTATTGTAAGCAATCTTTAATTTTCTTCTAACGTGCTATGTAAATTTTAGCCGAGATTCTGGAGTAAGTCCTAAACGTTTCCAACTGCTACAAAAAAGCGAAACAGTTATTTATAGAGAATTTTACGTTGCTTTTAATATTATCAAATTGTCATTTCCAAATATCATCACTGCGGATTTATTAAGATTAAATATGAGCATATGTTGAGTGACAGAGTCATAAAACTTATTCAAATCAAAATTAATACTGTTACTTGCTTCGCTAAGGCACTTCTCAGAAAAATAAAAGTACAGTTGAGTGTCATCGGCATAAAGATGATAATCACAAAACTGCAATGATGTTGTAAATCTGGATGCAAAAATCGCAAATAAAATTGTTCTCTTTAGACAAATACTGGCTAATTCAAACCCTTTTGGCGAATGCGCTATATATGTAAATGCGACAAAATAAAGTCTGTACGAAACATGATCTTTCATTTAAAAAGGAAAATACGAATTTACAAGACATGTGTGTATACTTATATGACCATGTATCTGCTAGATATCTTCAACTTAGTTGGTTGAAAATGGAACAAAGAAGAACTCTCTACATTTCAGCATATTCGGAATTAAAATGAAAAACGTAAGGTAAGCAATTCGTCTCTACAAATCCATTCCCAAACTTAAATCTAAATGCAATTAAAAAAATGTACAAATATGATCTGCCAGAAGTATAATTTATCTTGATTTTTTTTCCTTTATCTTTTCTATTCCGATTTTACAGGTCTTTCCCATAGCTTCAGTAATAAATTATTAAAAACGTACATGTATATTTGAATAAATAGTGCCCAATTTATTAACTGCATTAAGAGTTCTGCGTAATGGTTCCGTAAAATCGCTATTGAAAGCTACACTGCGCCAGTATTGAGCTCTCTGGTTAGTTTGGCTTGTAAAATGCTGTTAATAGATATTTTGTTTCTTTTTTATAATAACGCCAACTTATTATTATTATATTTGATTTAATATGATCTTTGACGATTCGTTTCTACAATTCTGTGTCACAGGAATTCACTAATTTAGATTTAAATGCTTTTAAAAAAATGTACAAAGATGATCTGCTAGAAGTACAATTTTCTTAAAATGTGTTTCTATCTGAGTGGGATATTAGTAAGATGTCATATGACTTGAAATTCTTTACCTTCATTACTTTTTATGTTTTTTTTTTCTTTTGCTTTTCCCTTCCGATTTTACATGTATTTTCCATAGTTTCAGTAATAAATTATTACAAATTTATATGTATATTTGAATAAAAGTACGCAATTTAACGATATTAAGAGTTCTATATAAGGATTTCGTAGAGCAGCTTTTGAAAGCTAGACTGCGCCACTATTACTGGTTAGTTTCGCTTCTTGTAAAATGCTGTTAATAGACATGTTGTTTTTTTTAATAAAGGTTATTTATTATTATTATTAATTTTCAATTTGCGTAGCGGGACTAGGCTTAGTCAACGTTTTATTCACGGGCCAGAACTCTTCCAACTGTGCTGCATGTTGATAGAATTACAGTTTTTTGAGCTAATTGTTTTCTAGACGCAATTTAACGATATTAAGAGTTCTATATAAGGATTTCGTAGAGCAGCTTTTGAAAGCTAGACTGCGCCACTATTACTGGTTAGTTTCGCTTCTTGTAAAATGCTGTTAATAGATATTTTGTTTTTTTTAATAAAGGTTATTTATTATTATTATTAATTTTCAATTTGCGTAGCGGGACTAGGCTTAGTCAACGTTTTATTCACGGGCCAGAACTCTTCCAACTGTGCTGCATGTTGATAGAATTACAGTTTTTTGAGCTAATTGTTTTCAAGACCTACAGATCAGCTTGCTTCAGAAATTTGAGGAGCTGCTTGTCAATTTTACCATTCGCGAAAATATCTATTGGTATAATTTTCGCAGAGTTTAACCCTTGCATGTCTTTTATTTCCAGCACCGATTATATAATCGGCTGACTCTGATAACACATATTCTGATTTAATATGACTTTTTCATCAATCCCAGATTAACTTTCATTATAAGCAATCTAATAGAGTTGATCACCTTTTCGTTTGAAATTCGCCGCAGTTTAGTTTCGACTACAAACAGTACCTTTTGTCTCGTTCCACACCATGGTCTACATTCCGCGGCCACTCACCGCGGCAAAAAAGGCGACTTGACGCCGTGGCATTCTTACCTTTGCATTCGCTCGCATCTCTGGCCGTGGCTCTGCCCCAGGGTCTATCGAAATGGAACGGTTTGCACCTTTCGCAATCTCTGCCGGCCGTGTTGTGCTTGCATTCACACGCCAGTTGTCCATCCCTGGCGACGACGCAGCGACTCGCATGTCCGTTACACTTACACCGACCACCCACAGAAAAGTCAGCCACCGCGTACTGATGCGTTACCGGATGGTACCCGTTAATCACCTCGGGGGTCGACGCTGATTTCGGACTACCCCCCGACCCCGCCTCGTTGTCGAGAACTTGCATTTCATTCACCAGCTGTACGGACGGTTCCTTGTCTTTGTCCTCGTCCTCGAGATGTTTGCTGTACATGTTCTCGTCTACCAATATGTCCAGATCATCGGAGAAATCCTCCACGGGCATGTGGAGGCGGTTGAAAACCACTTTGATGTCGGTGGCGGTCACCCAGTCTTGCAGTACCGGGGAATTGTCGAAATCCGGAGCACTCGGTCGCCCTTCCAAAGTGCTGAAAGCTATTCGCGATGTCTGACCGAACCCGAAGGAATCTCCGCCCGTGTATCGATGGGCGTCGGTACACCTAGCTTCTTGCTCGTTGGATTTGGTGATGGTAGCTCTATTAGGTCTACCGTAGACGCGGCGACACTGACTAGAATAGAACTGGAACGGCTGCCAGGTTTTACCGTAGTCCATACTCTTATAAATCGCGATGGAATCTGGTTTAGGTGTATTGGGACAGAACTGCATGCTGACGTACGTCAGCTCGTACTTTTTGCCCAAGCTCAAAGTCAGGGTAACGTTGTCGGGGGGCGCGTCGATCGAAGTAACCGGGGGCAGGGGATCGCTCCGCCAACACGTGACGTTGTTGGGGTTGTTTAGGTCCGTCAAGTAAACCGACGGGAACCTATTTTTCGGTTTTTGGTCGTCGCATACGTGACACTGGGGGGCGGCGCCGGGTTCCGGCGCCTCGCAGTACTGCACCGGCGCGTGGGTACCGCACGTAGAGGAAGCTTTGATCGGTACCCCGAACGCGGCGTTGACGAAATCCGGGATGCAGCGTCGCGGACGGTCCTCGTCGTAACACGGATCCACCGGGGTCTGTTGACCCTCGAACATCTTCAGGAAGTTCTCACTGACACACACCACCGAGACGATACCCAGTGCGGCGACTAATAGGATTTTCGTAAACATTTCGTCGCGGTTCAAAATCTCATAGCCGGACGTGGAGCGTATACGAAGCGGTCTCTCGCGAAGACCACGACGGAGGCGGCTGGCGAATCGATTGCGTTGCGTACGTTCGGAGCAGCGTACGCGGAATGACTGGCGTAGCGCTGTCTGATCGGGCGAAGAGCGAAGCACCGCCCCCGAAGGGCGCACAACATCCAGTCTTTAAGTGCCGTATAAGACGAGTTGGTAATTGATGATTAAGTTAATTACGGCGAATTAGTATGTCGGACGAATTTAACGCGGAGAGGTTGAGATTTCGGATCGATATCGGTTTTCCGTATTGTAGTGTCGGGCGATTTTATGGGCTGGGTTTTGAGCGAAATATAATAATAATAACAATAAAATAATGATCGACTTTATTCATAATAATCAAAATATAAATGTACAAACAATATAAATATATACAGAGCGAAGTCTAGCCTAAGACTATTCCATCTTGACCCTGGTAAACCAGAGTTTATATAGATAGTGCGTAAAGTTATAACTACACGAATTAAGATAAAGTGTGAACCAAAAAGAAAGTCAGAAAAAAAATTGCATATGCCCCGCAAGCTAGTACCATTTGAAAAGGGCTTTGAATTTATTAAATCATATGTTATATTTATTTCTGATATATCTGTTATCCATATCAGAGTTCAGCTTGAATTTATTTTTAAGATTTTCTAAAGTGAGACTAGATCATTTTGCTAAACCTTCGATAACACATATTCAAGCACTCAAGTTCATTAATTTTATGTGTTTTTAGACCCGATTTTCTTAGGTTAAACATCAAACGACAGCAATGTTGCTCCGACGACAGGGACCATAGATAAAGCTCGCATAAAAATGAGAGCGCACAATGTAATAATGTAATTTTGATACTTAGAAAATGACGACCGGAGGAAAGTTGCTTAAGTGTTGCACATGCCCTTTCCTTAAGAATTTTGATATGCTTTTATATGCACTCAAGTGCCCCTGATATTTCGAAATCTCTCTCTACGTCTCTACCGTCTCTGTTTTTAGTGTGAAAATTGTATCCGAGAATAGCAAAAATCGAAGTATCCTGATTATTAGAAAGCCAGGTTTATATCACCCAAAATCACGAGTACCTACTACTAGGGAATTAAAGTCATTAAGACCAATATTTATCGACGGTAAGTTAATGTCAGCTACATTCTTATTAAAAAAAAAAGAAAAAAATTGCAATTATAGAAGAGAGAAAACTAAATAGAGATAATTTTATATTATATATGTCTGCCTTAAGGCAGCTGCCCACCATTGTAATAAAATAAGAAAGATACATTCAACTGCAAAATAAAACATTTAAAATTTTAATGATTCCTAGAAACTCAAGTGCAATTTATATGAACTGTGTCTACAGGCACATATACTGTATGTACACCAAATCTACCACCACAACCAATAACCCCCAAATATACAATAAATTCTTAATTAAAATTATTCTGACGAATTACACCATTACGAGACCACGCCGATTTATTACAAAACATTTTTACAGCGGCAGATAAGAGTTCGGCGCGGTACTTGGTCAAATTTTTCTTGATAACGGTATACGTTAATTTTAAAAATTCACGGGTTTTTAGTACTGAGGTACGCACCGATTCACTAAAAAACCCAACCAGCACTGCCGGCGGCCGATCTGACGGAATCTTAGGAAACACCCTGATAAATTTAGCAATGAGCGACTCATTTAAGTCTTTGAAATTCATTCGCTGGAAAACGTTCAATATTTTTGTATGTTCGAAGGAGGATTCACCAAAAACTCTAATATTAAGTCTTCTAGTTGACTGATCTATGCTATCTAAACCCCGCTTCTCTTAGCTCGTCAATCTCTTTCCGAAGCGAAGAAATGACCTCATCCTGATCTTTGAGGCGCTCTTCAAATTTATTTTGTATTAGTGAAGAAACTTTTTCACCAATACTTTGGCGAAACTGATTATTGAAAACAGTTTAATAAAGATCACTACTAGACAAAACCTCACTTTGCGGATACTTGATGAATTTCACACTTTACACAGAGAAAAGCTATGATGCCGTATTAAACCAAAACGGTCAGGACCATTATTTATTTGGACAACGTTACTTTTCCAGTAAATTTAAATAACAACAGTACCCTCTAAAATACAAGAAGTTACACTCCAGGATATTTTTCCTTAAAATAAAAATATATTTACTTTATAATTAATCCGCGCTCTTTAATGTTCACGTCATACAAAACGGCACTCCGTTCATTGTGACGTCACAAGTTACGTGAGACAAGCCGTACATTTTATATTGTTTCTTCTATGGTTTGTGTTTCATTTTATTCTTCGGAGTTTGAATTTAATTCGTGCCTTTGTGTGATTGATATTAATAATATTTCCGTATTTCCTATATGACCGAAGCACAACCTGCTCCTTGATGGTCGTTGATTTTTTGACCAAGAACGTGTTTACGTCTGCTGAGCAACATGGAGTTCAAGCCGAAAGTTAGGAGTTAACCACTATGCAAAATTTTTGACAGTATTGCGCAAATCAGTGATTTTTACACGATTTCGCAGGTTATCATAATTGCGCAACTACTAAGATCCACAAATTAAAATCTGTGGCGGGTAGAATCCCTCTTTATTAAAGTCCGTCAAATTTTTTTTTGCTCCCTTCTGTAAAATACCTAATTATACACCGATCTAGGGTGCGGGAAGCGTCAATTTACCACTTAAGTTTCTTGCCCCACAAATCCGAGCCAAACGTTGCTTTGCAAACGAGAAGATATTATGTGGCTGCAACACGATGGATAACCAGCACAACTTTCTTACGAAATTAGGATTTTTTTAGACCAAACTTATCCTAAGCGTTGTATAGGAGGCGCAGCTTGTTTCCGTGGCCTATCAGATCTTCAGCCTTTCTGAAAAATAAATGATATTGTTTATCAAACTTGCCCTACTATCCTGGAAAATGATTAAGAGTATCCAAAATACAGTAGCCAACCTTGCGATGTTTAGTTTATATAATGTTGAGATGCGGTTTTCATTGGCTTGTTGTGCTCCTGTTGGACTATCTAATGACGTAAATAATAATCTCCTTGCATTTAATTCCAATTTTAAAACTTGACTTTAAAACGCCATCTTCTCAAACAAAACACGATAGCCCAGGAAAAGCCCTTTTTGACGACTCCAAGTTTAAGCCATTTTGAAGTTATCGGCAGCTATTTGCTGAAATGCTGTGGTGCGCCCCCACCACTTTCTTTTTAGAGATAGAGTAAAAAGCTTCTAACTAAAAAAAAATTCAATTTGTCTCAGCTTTAAAAAAGTGTTCACTCTATGTATCATTAATATGAGAAAATTTTGCTGAAAACATGCTTCCCAATTCAAGATGGCAATAACGCCCTCTGGTAGCCATTTAAGACACTTAAAAATAAATTCCAGCATTTTCTCGCGGCCGATGTACTAAATTAATTTTCAAATTTTTAGGAACTCGTTGCACTTACTAGGACACCCGGTATATTTAGGACACAAGATTTCTTTACGCATGTAATTGACAAAAAAATTCATGATACAATAAGATAATGTAAGATTCTATGACATTCTGCAGTGTTATTTTTTATACCGTTGCGATTTTGATTTTGGATACAACTTATTATTTTATAAAAAGATAAGGTGACTTTTCAATCATTTATTATATTTATATATTATATTAATATTTGCGCGATTAGGTTGGTTTTGTGTGAAATTGTCATCGTAACAAAACTATTTAATTTTTATTACAGGAGCGAAATATATTTCTGCGAGTAATTTAAGCGAATAAGATTAAATCTGGACAGGTGTACAATAGGTTTGCAGGTGTACGCCCGAGGCGCATTTGAAAAAACAATACCTACATTATTTGAATAATGTAGTAGGTCAGAACGTACTGTGCGCAAATCGTTACAAAATTTTAATTATTATATAAACTGAAAATAATAAATAATGCAATGGCAGTCGGAAATGTGCAAAAAATGTCGATCATTTTAATGAATTGCTGTTTTTAGTTTAGATAGTTATAAACGACCTTGACCGACATTCTTTTTTGATATTTTTTAAATTGAACTGGTCTGTAGTCCCTTCTTTCATGTGACAAATACAGCGAAATTTCATTGTCTACGATTGATAGATGGTGTTTTTTTTTCTCAAAAAAAACTTCCGCAGGCTACTGTAACACTATTTAAAAACTTTTGGATTCCTCATCGTCTCGGATGACTGATTAACGAATTGGTGACAGGTAAAGACCTGAGTCGCGGTTAAGATTGTTAGGTTGCTTACAGATTTTTATATATTCTCGGAATTTTCGTTGGTAGAAGAATTCATTACATGCAAGAATTTTAGCTTTATCCTCGTGATTGTGTTCGACAACTGCTGACGAGTGTATTTGTCTTAGTCTTACGGCTCTTTCATGTTCTTTGAGCCTAGTTGATATTTTTCGTAAGGTCTCTCCAATGTATTCTTTGCCGCATACGCATGGAATGCTGTAAACTCAAATGGAATTTTGTCTTTGACGGATCGAAGATGTTGAAAGATTTTTGGCAAGTGGTAAATCTGATTTTCACGATATATTTCTTTAGAACTTGTGATATGTGATCAGTGATGTTTTGAATGTGAGAAAGGACAACAGTGGCAAGGGTGGGATTGCTTTCAGGCTCATTGCTAATGGAAGATGGTGGTGAAGTGTATTTTATGATGACACTCTTAATATCTTTAATGTGAAAATTATTAGAGAGAGGTGCAGAGGTGTTTTAATTCTGGATTGAGTGAGATAGTTTTACGGCTCTGTAAACAAGAGGATTGATAACCGATGATTTTTGGGATGTTAGGTCTGATTTTCTATTGATAAGAATATATAAGAATGGGAGGTTACTAGTTTCTAATTCAATAGTAAAACGTATATTAGGGTGTATAGTGTTTAAATGTCTAAAAAAAATCTACTATGGATTCTTGACCATGAGTCCAAATAACAAAAGTATCATCGACGTAGCGTTTCCATAATTTTAGTTTTAGATGGAAGGTGTCGAGAGCATTCTTCTGGATAATGGAGAACCCATAGTTGTCATATTCCACAG